ATTTTGCCCTCATGCTTCTTCATTTAGCCTTTGTGGGCTGTTATATTTTTAAGTATTATTTATAGGATATTTCCCTGCATTGTTACTTCATGATATATTTAAAATTTCAATTTATTACCTTATTATTACTTCATAAGAATTTTTCTTAAATTATTATTATAGAGGTTTTATATAAATAATTTTCATTTATATCATAAACATTTTCAATTGATTCTAGCATTTTACAACTAATAAGCAACTTACTTATTATTTTCTTAAAATCATTTATGAGTGACCAACTGGCCAAAATAGTTACTAATAATTTTATAATATTTTATGACAATTTTATATCATTTCCTGCAATTGTATTACACTTTATATTATTTGTGCATTATTTGCATTAATAACCTATACTTTCACATTATTATATTTATTACACTATTTATGTGAAATAATGTTTTTATATTTTTATAATCATAATTTACTATTTTAAGGTCTTTAATTTCATAAATGTTATTTTTATGTATTTCTTAGCTATTTTTAGAATTTGTTTTTAATTAGTTTTATGTGTTTTAAAATACAACCCAATTAGGCTAAACTTCAGACAAAAAAGAGGTCCAAAACCCCTAAGCCCAACTTCCTTGAACCCAACAAGGCAACCCAACACATGGACCCAATCTAAATACGAACCTTAACCCGACACACCCGACCCAACACCCCTTAAAAATCCTTGACCTTTGTCATAAATGATCAACGACTCCCAACTCTTCCCCTCTTTCTTATCCGGCGAACCCCAACCCTAATACCATTTTCCCTTTACCCACCCCCTCTCATCTCTCTCTCTCTCTCTCTCTTTCATGAAGAATCCTAGCAACCACAATGTCTTTTCACCCTTCCCCTCTCATTACTTTGTGAGTCAAAGATTTTCTTACCTTTTGATATGAAATTAGAAGAAGAAGGTTAAGGAAGAATATTAGCTGCTTAAAGAATTGTACGAGTAGTTAAGTTAATTAGAAGGTTAATAGTGTAAGTATCTCTTGAATACATTTAAGTCCCTTAAGACGTCTTATTTATATTTTAGTATTTGCAGAATGGGCCCTACAGGGTGTTAGATAGTTTTGTCTGTTAGCTGAGGATATAAGGCAAATGTAATTATCCGATTGAGGTTATGAAATGAAATCCTTATAGTTTAGCCCTAGTTTTTTCTTCTTCTACTTCTTAGCTGTAGACTTCTTTTCTTCTGAATCCATTCTGCTAACAGTGGTATCAGAGTAAGATCTTGGCTCTGTAGAATCCTTGGCTGCAGAGATGTCGGAGGTGATGGATGTTCTTGACAAAATGTACGCAGAGATGATCCACTTTAATCGTAGGCAAGAACAATTCGAGGAAAAACAGGAATAGGTCCTCAAGGCTCAGGATCTGGCTCTGCGTGATCTGCAAGAGGTTGTTAATGGGGGGAAAAGATCGAAAAGAGACAAAGACCCCACTCCCAGTGGTAGTGAACTGTATTCTCCTTCAGGTACTCTACTAGCGATTGGGGAGCTGACGATTCCATCTCCTCTTCCTCTGAATGCTCACAACTCTGTTAACACGCATCAACTGAATCCCTCAACTAGTGTTCCTTCACCAAGTACTGGTCCATTGAGGGGTACTATTTCATTGCAAAGTTCTGTACCTGTTATACCCCCTAGTTCTAACTTGCATACAATTGGGGGTAATTCCATTAACCCCTAGATCCAATACTATCAATCCCAATTCCCCAATTCCCAGGGTATGGCCAATTTCAACAACAACCTGAATTCCCAATTTATAGCTGTTCAAAATAGTCAACCTCAGGGTAGCTATGCTCAGCACAACCAAAATCTACCCCAAAATTACAACCACCTTGCTACCTCTTACACAGACCAAACACAACAACACTATATTTCACCTACTCAGAATATTAGTTCCCAAAACATCCCTCAGTCTAGAATACCTTTGTGTCAACCGAAGCCCTTTCATATGCCTCCTGACCAAGGTAGGTATTACCAAGCTAATCCGATGACCTTTGGAATGCAGTCTCCTTATAATCCTTTTGCTCAAAACACTCAGTACCCTTTTTCTTATAATGTTCAACCGACACATATGCCACCTCCCTTATATCACCAAACTCCATATTTGCCCACTCCCATTCCTTACCACAATACACCCATCAATCAATATCCAGCACCCCAGAACAACCATAATGTGACTTTACCCGACATTCCTTTCACTAAATATACTAAGGTGGAGTTCTCTAAATTCAATAGTGATGACTTAAGAATATGGCTGTATAAAGTGGAGCAGTTCTTTGCAGAGGAAGATATTTCTATCCAACAAAAGATGAAGCTGGTATCATTACATTTTGAAGGTGATGCATTGCAGTGGCACCTAGGATACATGAGAAGTAGGGGGCAAATGCCTCTTCCAAATTGGGAAGAATATCTGTGGGCTTTAACTAATAGCTTTGGGCTGAATATTCTGATGCTATAACAGAGATCATGAATATCAAGCACACAAGGTCAGTGAAGGAGTATCAAAGAGCCTTTAACAGTGTCATGACCAGACTTAACCTATCAGTGGAGCATGCCATTAGTATTTTCCTGAACAACCTTAAACCTGAACTAAGCAATGCAGTAAAGGTTGGAAATCCATGCACTCTACCCCAAGCCTACTATCTAGAAAGGATGCAAGAATCTAATTTTGCTGCACAAAGCAAGGCTATAGGGGTACTTCTTCAGGAACTCATCTGAGCAATTCATCTATGTGCATGGGATACAGTCAGAATAATCTAGAGAAGGGCAGTACAGGCACTACCAGGAGACCTATCACTGCCAAGATGGATACTAATAGAAGAAGAAGACTGACCCCAGCAGAAATGGATGAAAAGAGGGCCCATGGCCTATGTTTTTTCTGTGATGATAAGTTTGTACCTGGTCACAAGTGCAAGGCAAAGAGATAATTATTCTCACTGGAACTGGATAGAGTTGAAGAATACATAGAGGAAGGAGAGGAGACAATAGAAGGACAGTATGAGGAAGAATATAAGGAAATGCTAACAGAAGCATTGGATAACTATGATATATCCTTACAGGCAATCAATGGTACAATGGGGTTCAAAACTCAGAGGCTCAGAGGTTTTACAGAACAAAAGCCTCTTGAAGTGTTCATTGATTGTGGATCAACCCACAATTTCATTGATGAAGAAGGTGTTGTGAGGTTAGGATATGAAATCACCAAGATTAGACCACAGTTAGTACAAGTGGGTGATGGGAGAGAGGTCTCAACTGACAAGATGTGCAAGGGATTTAAATGGTTGATGCAAGGTGCAGTATTTCAGGATGATTTCTTAATATTTCCTATTGTCAATAATGATGTAGTTTTGGGAATGCAATGGATGTGCCCTTTGGAAGATATCAAATTTAACTTTAGAAGGCTGCAGATGGAATTTGAGTATCAAGGGAAACTGCTCACACTATAGGGAATTCAACCAAGATTCAAAACTATTGATGCTAAGTCACTAAACAAAACAACAGTAGAAACCTCACAGTTCTTCATGGTTCAGGTGAGGAGTGCAGAAACAGAACCTCTCGAGCTAACTGAAAAATAGAATGAGGGGCTTGTACTTGTTTAGGAGTTGCTTGAAGAATTTGAGGGGATCTTTGGAGAACCAAAAGCATTACCTCCTTCAAGAGGTGTGTTTGATCACCATATTCCTGTAATAGAGGGTAGTTCTCCTGTTAACTCTAGACCCTATAGACTCATCTATCCAAAAAGATGTCATAGAACAGATGGTTCAAGAGATGCTAAACCAGGGGATTATTCAATATAACTCAAGCCCCTATGCTTCTCCACTAGTGCTAGTAGGGAACAAAGATAGTTCAAGGAGGTTATGTGTTGATTATAGGGCTTTGAATAAAGTGACAGTAAAAGACAAGTTTCCCATCCATGTTATAGAAGAGTTGTTAGATGAATTGGGGGGCTCTCAAGTCTACTCCAAAATAGATCTGAGGGTAGGGTATCACCAAATTAGGATGGCATCTTCTGACATTCCTAAGACAGCCTTCAAGACACACTCTGGGTACTATGAATATTTTGCCATGCCCTTCGGGCTAACCAATGTACCTCTAGCTTTCAAGGCTTGATGAACCTCATATTTCAAGAACATCTTAGGATATTTATCTTAGTGTTCTTTGATGAAATTTTAGTGTATAGTAAGAGTTTGGAGGATCACTTGCATCACCTCAGAGTCACCTTTGAATTACCTGCTCAGAATCAGTTGTTAGCAAAAAAGAGCAAGTGTGTATTTGCTGCAACTAAGGTTGAATATTTGGGACATTACATTTCAGTAGAAGGGGTAGCTACAGATCCTAGGAAGGTGGAAGCTATACAGAATTGGCCTGAACCTACCTCTGTCAAGCAATTGAGGGGGTTTTTGGGGCTAGCTGGATACTATAGGAGATTTATGAGGAACTATGGAGTGGTTAGCAAACCTCTCACTGAGTTGCTCAAGAAAGATATTTCAAATGGGCAGACAAGGCAGTGAGAGCTTTCAAGAGACTCAAGGAAATGTTGACCACTGCACCAGTACTAGCACTCCCTGATTTTTTCTTGCTCTTTGTAGTAGAGACTGATGCTTGTAATGTGGGAATTGGAGCTGTATTGATGTAGAAGGGGCAACCCATTGCTTTTCTCAGTAAATGACTTTCCACTCAACACCAATCACTCTCTGTGTATGATAAAGAGTTACTAGCATTAGTGATGGCTATGAACAAATGATCACAATACTTAACAGGAAGACCCTTTGGGATAAAGATAGATCAAAAAGCCCTTAAATTCTTGTTAGAACAGAAATTGCATACTGGGACTCAATTGAAGTGGATCACTAAGTTATTGCAGTATGACTTTACAATTGAGTACAAGAAAGGAAAAAAAAAAACAAGGCAGCTAATGCTTTGTCCAGGCTTCCAATGATAGAATTAACCTCTATGACCCTATCAACTATGAAGACTGAGTTATTAAACTTGATCATACAAAGCTGGAACCAAGATCCTGACTTACAAGAGTTGATACAGAAGCTCAAAGTGGGTGAAGAGGATGCCAAAGGATACACTTGGATACAAGACCAATTAAGAAAGAAGGGAAGGTTAGTAGTGGGAGCTAATCCAGAACTAAGAAAGGGTATTATTCAACTTTGGCATGACACTCCAGTAGGGGGACATTCAGGGATTGATCACACCTACAGGAAATTAGCTGCTTTATTTCATTGGAAAGAATTGAGGGAAGATGTTCACAAGCATGTCAAAGCCTGTGATGTTTGCCAAAGACATAAATATGATACTGCACCCTAACCTGGACTATTGCAACCTCTCAAGGTACCAGGATCATCTTGGAGCAGCATTAGCATGGACTTTATAGAGGGTCTCCCAAAATCCAAGGGCAAGATAGTAATCTGGGTGATAGTAGATAGGGTGACTAAATACGTACACTTTATAGGGCTGTCTCATCCTTACTCAGCCAGTGATATAGCAAAACTATTTATGGAACATGTTCACAGACTACATGGGATACCTGAGGATAATAGAGACCCTATATTTACCAGTAAGGTATGACAAGAGTTGTTCTCAATGATGGGATTCACCCTTAACACCTCTACTGTCTATCATCCCCAAACAGATGGGCAAACAAAAGTAGTCAAAAGATGCTTAGAGACCTATCTCAGGTGTTTTTGTTCAGATTCTCAAAGTGACTGGCAGTTATACTTGGCCACAGCTGAATGATGGTACAACACCACCTTCCACAGCTCCATTCCATTTACTCCTTATGAAGCTTTATATGGGCAACCTCCCCCTTTACACTTACCCTATGCTGCTGGAGACTCTACTATGGAAGAGGTAGATAGAAGTTTACTCACTAGAGAATTCAAGTTGCAGTTGTTGAAGTACCATTTGCAAAGAGCACAACAAAGAATGACTGACCAGGCTAATAAGCACAGGTCTAATAAACAGTATCAACAAGGGGATTGGGTGTATGTAAAAGTCCAACCTTACAGACAAGTCTCTATGGTTGGCTATCATTTTTCTAAGTTGTCTGCTAGGTACTATGGACCATATCAAATCCTTCAGAAAGTGGGAACTATTGCTTACAAGTTATCTCTTTCTCCTCAGTTGCTGTTACACCCCACCTTTCATGTTTCCCAGCTGAAGTTATGCCATAGCTTACCTGATATAATCAACCATCCTTATGTAGTTGAGCTTTCTAGCCCCTACTTTCCTCAACCTCAGAAGATCTTGGATAGGCGCATGGTGCAGAAAGGGAATAAGGCAATCACTCAAGTGTTGGTGCAATGGGACAAGCTTCCACTTGACCAGGCCACATGGGAAGACTATCAAGCTATGAGAATTCGTTTCCCTAGTTTTCTTCCTTGAGGACAAGGAAGCTCTTAAGGGGAAAGACTGATATGAAATTAGAAGAAGAAGGTTAAGGAAGAATATTAGCTTCTTAAAGAACTGTACGAGTAGTTAAGTTAATTAGAAGGTCAATAGTGTAAGTATCTCTTGAATACATTTAAGTCCCTTAAGATGTCTTATTTATATTTTAGTATTTGCAGAATGGGCCCTATATGGTGTTAGATAGTTTTGTCTGTTAGCTGAGGATACAGGTCAAATATAATTATCCGATTGAGGTTATGAAATGAAATTTTTATAGTTTAGCCCTAGTTTTTTCTTCTTCTTCTTCTTCTTCTTAGCTGTAGACTTCTTTTCTTCTGAATCCAAACTGCTAACACCTTTTCTAGGTACTTACCTCTCAAAGATGAAAATATTTGATACTGCTCTTTCTATGTAAAGTGTATTTTGTATGAATCGAGTCCGAATGGACCCTGTTTTTGAGATTTTTCAAGATTCAGGCTATGTACATCAAAAGAAAAGGAATATCTTTTCGATTCAGCAGATCTCTATCGATTCCTGCTCAAATAGGGTATGCACCATTTGTTGCCCTAATGCGACATGAAATCGATTTGCATGTGGTGTTTTCCCTTATTTTCATGTGATTGATCTTCTTTCCTTATTTTTTCACCTAATGCTAGTATTATATAAGCCCCTCTCCCATTTCCCTTTTAGAGGTAGACCTTAGGTCGTACATCATTCGTCTCTCACTTGTACTCGTTGATTCTAGTTGCTCTGTTGCTCTCTGGTTTCACTACTTGGTTGACTGATTTGTGGCCAGCTGAAAGCCAAGGCCAACGGGTTATCAATTTTTAAACCTTTCCCGGCATAAGCACTGCTCGGGATCCCTGGAGGTCCTCATGAACTCTGATTTTCCAGGATTCAAGGTTCTGGGAACAAAATTTGGAACTCTTTTCAATTTCTACTACTTGTTCTTGTTATCATCTTGGCTGATTAGTATCCTTAGCCATTCCACTTTACTCTTGTCCGCTTAATTGTAGAGTTTACCGTGAATGGTTTTCCAATCATGTTCTCTTCTTAACTTTCTTAGTCAAAGCATGCTCGTAGGAAATCTTTGCTACTGGTTCACCTTATGAAGTTCAGTTGTTGATATTTACTGTTATAATCAGGACTAGGCTCGATTGTTTTTTTATATAATTAGATTTAGCCAATCGACTAGATGAGGATATTGTTTGAATTTGGTGTTTAACTTGTAACTCTTTGATGACTGTTCTACCATGTCAATAGCTTGTTAGTTTCTATTAAACTTAGAATGTGATTGAAATTGATTAGGATTGATAGAGTATGGTTTACAGATTCATCTCACCTATTATTTAACAAGAGGCCTTGCATGTGCTCTTTAACCATGACCTTAAGTTTGCTAAAAATCCTGCTCCTATTGTTTTTTATCGTTAGTAAGGCCTGGAATTGAAAAACATCTTTTTATGTGCATTCATGCTTAAGTTTTTATGGTAAGAATGGATATCTACAACCTCTTAAGACCTGCCTCTTTCTTGTTAGTAATGAATCTGCCTATAGATCTTTAGCCACTCGTTTGGTGCAAATTTTGGTCCATTAAGACTTGGTTTCATTTTTTTTTCTTGTTTGAATTAGTGACAAGCATGATAGGGTATAACACACATTGCCTAGCTTATCACTTGTGCAGTTTGTTTGAAGTCGTCCTCTCCACATCTCGTTGAATGATTCATTTCCTAAAAGCATACACTGTGTGTTTAGCATGTGCATTTAAAAGGTCTGCCTCTAGGGAATGTATGTCTAGTTGAGCCTAGTCCTCTAAAACCGTCAAGAGTATGGGCTGAGTGAGTATTGCCTTCAAGATTAGTCAAGTATCACACGCAACATGGCCATTTTTCACTGTTGCTGGGTTGTAGGTGCAACTTATGGGCCTCATCCGTTTTCTGGAAGTTCTGAAGGCCCAGATACACCTGGGTTCACACTGTATTTAGTTACACTATATCACTGGGCCTGTGGCCAGTGTATATCTTTATCTTTTATCTTTTTCTGTTAGGCCTGTAATAATAATTCCTGTAAAAATAGTTATGTGGGATATATTGGATGTTGGGGTCGAGTATTCTATCCTTTAGAAAGCATGCCTATAGCATTTAACTTATATTAAGGGTAGAAAACATACCTATAGGTTTTAAATTCCTATGTGCTACTTGCCAATAGAAAACATGCCTATAGGTCTTGAATTGCTACATGCTACTTGTTAATAAAATTTGTCACGACCCAAAATCCCACCTTGTGAATCGTGATGGCACCTAGTCTCTAGAACTAGGTAAGCACTTATCAATTTTTAAAGCATTACAAATATGATATACTGAACAGGTGTAAACATAAATGCGAAAATAACGGTGATACAAGCCAACATGACGATAATCACTACATATGCCAGAACTAGAAAGTATAGAGTCGTGAACGCTAACTGAATACATAAAATTAACTCAAAATACAATATTATTTGGATAGAGAACTGACAGCATAAACGTAAGGAAAGGACTCCAAGGGACTGTGATGATCAAAGAAGCTCTACCTTGAATCCTCACGATCAAAGAACTCTCACTGCCGATCTGCTATCTCCAGCACCTAGATCTGCACAAAAATATACAGAAGTGTAGTATGATTACACCATGGTCGGTACCCAATAAGTATCAAAACTAACCTCAGTGGAGTAGTGACGAGGTTCAAGTCAAGACACTCACTAGTTAAATAACCTGTGCAATAATATCAAAGATGAGCAACATGGAGAATAACAGGAAACAATAGTTGAGATCTTATCAGAACAAGTGATAGCAATTTAATACAGTTAAAGCTCAATTTCAACAATACTTCATCCTATAGAATCGCACACATATGGAACCTCGTGTCCATATTGTCAATCACCTCGCACGACAAAGGCCTCGTGCCACATCATAAGTCACACCCGCACACAACTACACGGCAAAGACCTCGTGCAAATTACCAATAACACGTTCAAGAGAAATTCATCAAGGATCAAATAGAGTAAAGCATGATAACATCTCCTTTTTATTTCAATCCGTTATGTTACCAATGTCTCAACAAAATATGAGATAATAATTCTACGTAGGTAAATCCATCTTGGCATCCAAAGCATCAAATAATAACAGAGACACAGAGTAGTACCTTGATAACAACACAACAAATCACGTAAGATGCATGACGCACACGAGGAAGTCATAAGCGCAAGAAAGAATACAACAACATGCCTCTAGGCCATCACATATCATCCCCACATAGTCACCTTTATCTCAGCGTATTGACAATATCATAATAGCCACTAGTATCGCTCCTCCTAGATAATATATCAATAGCCACCCGTATCGCTCCGCCCTGGCAATATATCAATAGTCACCCATATCGCTCCGCCTTGACAATAACATAATAGCCACTTCTATCGCTCCACACAGACAGTAACACAATAGCCACCAGTATCACTCGGCCCAGATAGTATATGAATAGCCACCCGTATCGCTTCTCACAATCAAACAATGCCACCCTTATACTCCGCGCAATAATAATCAATCCACACAACAAGTCCACATATGCCACAATATCACAAGACTGTAGTATCTGAGCTTTGTCACGTTATAAGCTCACAACTTATCATCAAATTGCACCAGGACATGTCAGTAATATAGAAGTGCGGAGAGGTGTTCAACATAAAAGCATGAAAGCTACCTCAAATTATCAAGAATCTCACACTTGGCCAAATAAGGAATAAAATATGATCTCTTTCATGGAATATAAACTCAAGTAAACGATCAAAGTGACATCACATAAAACAAAGACTTCTCCATCAAGCCAAATCAATAAAAGAAACCTCGGGTCAAATCTAGTCATAACCAACACATATGCCCGTGCACACACTCATCACCTTATGTACACGTCGTTCACATTGCAATTAGACTAAATCCTAAGGGGTTTTCCCCCACACAAGGTTAGGCAAGATACTTACCTCAAACAAACCAAATCAGTACTCTCAAAATCCCTTTCCGCGTGAATCAACCTCCAGACAGCTCAAATCTAGCTAAAATGACTTAATAATATCAATAAAAGCCATAGAAAACAAGCCCAAATGATAAAGCTACGATCTTGGCTCAATTATGCAAAGTCAATCATGGGCTCGCACCTAGGAACTCGACAAAACTCATAAATTCCCGAACACCCATCCAAATACGAATCCAACCATGCAAATTTCATCCAATTCCGACCTCAAATCGACTTTCAAATCATCAAATTAGTTTTAGAAAAGTTTTTTCTAAAATCCCGAATTTCTTCAATCCAAATCAACAAACAATCGCTAGATTCAAGGTTGAAATCATGAAATATAAGCAAATAAAAAATACCTACCCCAATCCAAATCGTGAAAATCCCCTCCAAAATAGCCCAAAATCAAGCTCTCTAACTTAACATGTGATAAATAACAAACGCCCTCGAAATATAATATTAAATAGGGATGCCCATGTATACATAATGTGATCACGGAAATACCTTCGCGATCGCGAAGAACAAATTCACCCAGCTGCCAAAACCTTCTACGTGAATGCGACATCTCAGTCACGAACGCGCCTACGTGAATACGCCTTGACGCCCCTGAACGCGAAGACCAAAAGCCAGATGCCCCATCCCGCCTATCCTTCTACGCGATCGCGTCTCCCAGCTCGCGATCGCAATGCACTACATCCCCAAAGCTTTACGAATGCGTCCCCTTCTTCGCAAACATAAAGTACAAACCTACAAAATGCCAAAATGTCCTCCGCGAATGTGACTCGTTGGTCGTGATCTCGATGAAGGAATCACCAGACATCAGAAACAATAGTTCAACACATGAGGAAATGCCCCATAGCCCATCCGAAACACACCCGAGGCCCCGGGGACCCCGTCCAAACACACCAACTAATCCCAAAACATAACACGAACCTACTCGAGGCCTCAAATTA